TTATTTCCTTAGTTTAGTTTCAACTGTCATATACTATCAGTAAAACCTTCCAATTAATATGTTAGATGTGTGCACAGTAAATTCACCTTTGACCTGAAATGTAACATCTGCAGTTGTCAGGTCCATCCAGATATCGTCATGTTGTATATTATACTTTTAGTCAAGCTTCTGCTGATACATGTATTACTTGTTTTCACTAATTGTGTTTTCTTTATATTTGATTGTGACATTGACTGTAATATTGTTGTTAGAATCAATACCTGACTATTAGGAGCCAATGACTGTAAAGCTATTGGGAACTGAAGTAGTTGGTCAGATTTACAAAAAAGTCCCCAATGGATATGATTCTTGGGAATCAGACCGCTTATTTCAGTTTCACATAGGTGCTTACTGTACATGTTCATGTAAGCACTGTAGGCAATAAATATGATAGTGGGCACTGCTGGGTTTCAATCACTTTGACAAAAGTTACTCTACTGTATCTGAAAGGGTAATAATTTCTTTTGAGAATTTAACAAGATTATGCATATGGAATATTTAAAAGACCTGTTTTCTCATTGGAAAATCCAATTGTAATAGGCCGACATTTTTTTCACACTCATTATTAGAAGAAATCAAGTATGCATACTCCCAATCAGCTTATAATGTAATCTTCCAAGTTGTTTATGCAAAACCTGAGCATATAAGGAGGACAATAAAGAATATTGAAATCATGCTTATGAAAGGAACCTGAAAAATGATATGACATTACTGGATATAAACACAGATAAATAAAAATACAGATTTCAGTGGCTGAAAGATGTCTAAAAGAAATGGATTTGAAATGCATTTGACACCAGAGTGAAGACAGACACTTTGCTTACTTGTAAGGTCATTTCATGCAGAAAAAATGACAAGATTTAAGTTTAAAAAAAAGAACTGATTCTTTTGTAATACATTGCCTACATACTGAAATGTCAATATCATATTTACTCATATAACTCTGATACATAAGCACACATTTTAAACCAAGAAAATATTTAGATACTACTTTCTTTCTGTCTTGTAGGGAAGAAGGTGGCAGTTGCAGAGAGAACAATCCCACCTGCAGAACCTGTTGAATCAGTGCTTTGTGGCAGCTTAGCCATTGGGGGAACATCACTTGCTATAGCTAAGGCTGGTGCCACCATTAGCCGTATCCCATTGTACTTACATATTGCACTGCTGAAATGTAATCAGGTACATGTGACTTTTGTCATTTTGTTTATTTTATCCCAGTTATCACAATTATTCTAGAATTCTGAAGCCAATAGTCCTTCGTGACAGTGGTATTAAATATACCATGTAGAATACACCCTTAAGACGATTGTCTGTAGCAGTCTTTGAACCCTGTGCCATAAGTAAAATAAATAAGAAATCATTCTGATTTGTAACATTTTTATTTTCATGTGGTACTCCCAATTACAGGATTCACCTAAAGAAATTACTCTGCCACTTCCAATGGTTACTCTGTTGAACTGTGAAAAAATTTCACCTTCAACACTGAAATTAGTGAAAGAAGTTATGCTTATACCACCGGTTCAGTTATCACTCAAACAGGTACTGTTTCATTTTCATTTTTATAAATATATTCTATAGACTTTATATAAACTATATATGTACATAAGTATATAGATCTTTTCAATATAGTCCTTACAAACTGTATTTTTCATTTTTTGTTTACTTGCAAGGCCAAAGTTTTAACAAATGTTAGTGCAGAATTCTAACACCAGGAACATTAAAAGAAGTAAATACATGAAGATTTCAAGTTAAAAATGCATACGTTAGTGTAGAGGAAAAAATCAGTGCATTGAAGAAGATGTAGGGGAATCGTGTTACACAACAATGAGATATTTTCATTTTGTTTAGAATGTGATTTTACATTAGTAGATTATAAATAGTATCAGTTGATTGATAGAGCATACAAAACAACAAAACTCATAATGAATTCACAGGAAAGCATAAAATCTTTGGGAATAAATTGCTTTAAAAATGAAATTGTGAAGATAGAAGGGAATAGAATACAAAGTAGAACAAAATCTATTCAAGGGGCAAAAAGGATGGATGAGACAGACTGGATCAACCCTCTCTTTTTGTTTTGCCATGTGTTGCATTAAAGAATGTATCTGCACAAGATGCCTACATTAGGGCTGTGATTTCTACTTTGTATGCTGCTGACCTGGACAAATAGCTGAGCTCGATTCTCTTTCTTTTTCCTTTTCCTTTAACTTCTTAGAACTGGCACCAAGAGCTCTTAATAAGGTTGCTAATTCTGTACCTTTCAAAGATATAATGCCTCCTTGTGCTCATGGGAGAGCAGCAAACTGTTTGCTGCAGTGCAAAAAAGGTATCCATTCGTCCTGTGTTGATGTGTTGCAAGCTGTGACTGACTTCTGCCCCCTTCAGTATTCCTTTACTGGCACAGTTTAAGAAAATCTGAAATGTGATTTACAAAGTTGGCATTAAACTTCTACTAACTCAGCTGAAACGGAAGAGAGTCTTGCCTTAAAAGCAATTGATTCATTTAATTGGAGTGTTCCTCCATTCCCCAATGTTTAAAATTAAGACAGTGATTTTTTCCCTGCTTCCTGGAAATGTTCTAAAGGTAAATACATTTAATTTTGTCCGACTTTTGAGTTAGGAAGTCTTAGATAGAGTCACAATTGTGAACAGTGATTATAATCTTCCCACTTCTCAGATATTGCGCAGACCCGGATATTGCTTACTTGTTAGATTTGGGAAGGGTTCCTTTTGGGGAAGAAGAGACTATTTTTCTTGCCATCCCATTCAGCAGCATAATCAAATATTCCTGTTCATTCCACTGCTACTAACCCTTTATCATTGGACACTTGACTGCATTTTGTGGGTGGGGGGATTGTGTTAAGGAAGTCTATAATAGTTTTTTTTTTTAAAGATGTAATATTAAGATGTGCATTTAGAATAAGTGTTCTCTTCTGATTTAAGCTGCTAAAATGAAATAATTTATCTCTCTTTTGAAGATTACTGTTGTTTAATTTCAGGGCATAGAAAGAGTTCTGGATATTCAGAAAGAAATTATGAGACTGTTGGAGCCTCCAGGCAAAGCGGTACAATAAAAATGTGTAATAATAATGTGGTGTACTTCATTTGGTCTTTCTACTGCTATTGTCTTTTTAAGCTTAAACATGGAATGTTTAGCCTGTTACCAGGTTTAGTCTTATGGCACAGAATAGAAGATGTGTTTCTCTGACAGATGAATAAAACATTGGCCATTTGGTGATATTAAATTAATGAAGATAGAATGAAACATTGTTCTAAGCATAGTGAGACTTTCTGTTTACTTGAAGAGGTACACTAGGAGTGAATGGTATCACAGTGAATATACAATATATGGCTCTGATCTTGCTAAGGCTCACACACACGCAACATATTATTCAAGGTACTATTACTGTAGTAGTATATCAGTCTCAGTATGTGCATATGCTTTTTGCATAGCGAGGTTGTTGGGTTTCTCCAAGTACAGAGTCTAGATTCTTATTTCTAAGATCCCCTGTATTATTAAAGGCTAGGTGGGAATCTTTTGAAAAACAAATGGTGGTTGGGGTGATGCCCACATAGAAATAAACATTTGAAATGAGTTACCACCACAAAATAAAACTGGATAGCTGCTGATAGTATTCAAGACAAAACAGAAGCTATTTCCTAACTTAAATATTTGCGATGTCTTTAGACCAAAATTCAGTCAACTTTTTTTTTCTTTTTTTTATTCTGAAGTCTCTCTGTCATTTTTGGACTTTTCCGGAACTGATTTCTTTCTTCTTTCACTCCCAACAGCCCAGTCCTCAACTAGCAGATAGTAAGAAAGGCAGAGCACATAATACAGGGAAGAAAGCTCCGGTAAGAGAAGAGATTTTCATTTTAAGCCTTCAGCAAGGTATTAACAACAGCAGGGAACCAAAACGTTCTTAAGAAATGAAACATTAATCTACATTACCATTTTGGAAAGGTCAAGGCAAGACTTTTAAATATTCCAAATGCTCGTATTTTACATAATAATTTGGATTCTTCTGACTACACCTTCCCATCCTGTGGAACAATAACAGAAAGGAGAAATTCTTCTGGAATCTGGTCATTTTTCTCATATAGAAATCCTGGTAAACTATCCAAATGAGCATTTTGCAGGCCTGTAGCATCAGCAGAGAACATGCCCTTTTGATCATGTAGGCCATAAAACTATTACCTGTAAGATTTGCGTATTGTGCTGTTTCCTAACTGTGGGAGCATAACTCCCTTCTTAATCATGCTGCATTAAGTTCCCAGTTCCTGTTTGAGGTTATAGATAATGGCAGATACAAACCAGTAGCTAAAGTTCAGCACTCGCAATAGTGCGCGGGACATTATTTTATATGACTCAAATGATCTCTTTTTATCACTTCAAAACCTGTAGCTGATAGGTGAGTTTTCCAAATAGTGGGATGGAAATGCCATGCTGGTTTTGCTCTCCATTCTGAGACGATCAAAATATTATCAGGTGAGAATTGTTGCTGTTGTGGAGTATACAAAAGAGAGGATGAACGGAAGTTTTCCTATTTTTTTGTTGCTTAAACAACACAAAATTCTTCATCATTAATCAGCTGGCCAGTGTTTTTCTGGTGGGCAATTTCCATATTCTTAGCGCAGTATGTACTGCAGTCACAGGTTAAAATAATTCCTTAAAATACACACAAAGAAGCAATGCATTAGATTCTCTGAAAAAATTACAGTTATTTCAAAAGGAGAAAACGAAAGGAGATAGTAGTGGGACTGAATTTTAAACTGATAAAAGCACTATGTCAGCTTGAACTTTTTTTTTTGGGGGGGAAAGGAAAAATGAAAAAGTAGGCAGTGAAGAAGAAGCAGAAGAAGAACTTGTTTAGGTTATAAAAGTAAAGACTAGACAGAAATAAATGTTTTTGTAAAGATAAACAATGCTTTTAATAGAATGTAACAAGACACACCATATGGGTGCCTTGAAGATCACATGAAAACGGAGACTTAACCTCTATCTCACGTTAAATGCGGGAAGACTGCAGCATTTCTTACTGTCTAGCTGCACCTTAGTGCTCCAAAAGCAACAAATCAAATAGATTGTCTCTCCTTGCAGATTGCTACAAAATAATGTCGTAACAATTTGACCTGTGTTTTCTTCCTAATTTTTTATGTGAAGGAACATCCATATATCCTCTGTAGTTAGGCCTCTGTTCTGTCCGCTGTAGTTAGTTCTCTAACTCTTGTCAAAACCAATGCCTTCCAATTGACTTCTCCAGTCTAACCCAGGATTATATCTTGCTGCTTTCCGGGCAACTTGGTGTCATTCTTTATAATCCAAAATTCACAGACTTTAAAGTTAAAAATCAGTTTTGAAAAACCTACAAAAAACCTGACAACAGAAGGACACGTGAAATATTTGCTCAATGCAACTCTGCTTGTGGCTTGTGTCCAGGAACACTGTTCCTGAGGCAGACAACTCCACGCCGTTGTGCTAGAGGTGTATTTCCTATGTGAAATTTGTTCCTTCTAGAAGTCTTGGAAGATTCTTGTGTTTCTTGAACATTCCACAGAGGCAATATCAAAGTTGTAGTTGAAGATGAATGAGTAAAAACTGTTTAAAAGTGGAGAATGTGTTTTTGTGGCAAAGGGATAATCCATAGCACTGGAAGCTTTTATTTCGCGTCCATGACAACTCTGGTTGTTAAGAGTGCCTTTAAAATCTTTTTGTAAACCAGTACTGGCAATATAAGAGCGAGAACTACATGACTAGACATATTTCCAAGGACTGTTAGCTCTCTACTCATTAGCACTTGGTTACCCCTCATTCATACAGAATTGTCCTTAAAGTTGCTAATGCGATTTCTGAGAACAGATTTATATTTTGATGGCTGAATGCAGACTGAAATGACAATGAAAATATATATATAAGTATTATAGATATACATGTGTGTAAATAAAGTTATTATTGTTGTTTCACTTTCAGCCACAAGCCTTAAAAAGAATATCACATTTAGGTTGCCTAATAACAGGATGCGATAATCTAGAACAACTGCTACTCCTAATGCAAACAGCTTGCAACAATATAGGTCTGGAGCTAGGAACAGACATGCACTTAGCAATAAATTGTGCTGCTCATGAATTAATGGATTACGTAAGTTATTTTCAATATCTATTTTGTTCGTTTTTAAAAGGAATGTAGCTATTTGTTAACATTATTTATTACTACACTGCAAACTCACCTAGAAGCTTCTAACTCCATTTTTTAAGGTAGCAATCAAGCAAACCAAAAGAATTGTCTCTGCATTTATAAATGATGGTTGAATCGGTCCTACAAGTGTAGCAGATATGTTATTGGATTGTGAGTGCAAGGGGACGAGACATGCAGACATCCTTCTGGTAGCTTGATGCAGTGGGGGCAGTGAGAATGCATGTATTCCTCCTCCGCAGCTGTACCAGCATAGTGGTGGTGCACCTTGCGTGGAATAAGGCTCACTGGACCAAGGCAGACCCCCATTACAGCTTGTGTCCTGCCTACAGGAATCTCTGTTACTTTCATGATTTAACTTTAACCATTCAAATGGTATAAGCAAGCCTGCCTGCATCAGCCAGGTTTATTCCTTTTCTCTGTTTATTTATTTAATAAGATTTTTCAGTTCAGTCTGTGTCAAATATAGCAAACTGTTTTAATGGGCAAACACCTACTACGTGCTCTTAACAAACCATCTTCATTTCACGTTACATCTCAGACAATTTTGAATTAAAGTATTAAGCAGCAAATCCTGGTGGGTTTTTTTTTTCATTTCACCACAAGGTATAAATGAAATAATTATCTTCTATCCACCTTGCTTTCAAGGATGAAGAACAAGAAATTATTTACACAAGTATACTTCTGTAATTCCTTCACACCACTTAGATGCTTATTTCTGCATTTTTATTACACTACATCTGTTGTTTTCTTCAAACTACCTTGACCTTTCTGTGTATTTTTACTATGGTATGTGTGTTTACCCACTAACGTTCATCTCATTGTGTATCAACATTCATTTATTTAATTCTTATTTTTCAAGATTTTTATTTGACAAAGTTTATTTATCTCCAGCTGAAGTCTTAAAAGTTCTTGCCCCTTGTTCCAAGACCAATCAGGTTTCTCTATAAGCAGAAAAAGAAACGTCCTGTTCCATTTAATATCTCATGAGATTTTGTGTATTTGGGTGTACTATAGTGACAAATCTTCCATTATTAATATCTTTTGCGAAAGCAGTTGCTTTCCTGACAGTTTGTGATATCTGCATCGTATACCAGAATGAGCAAAATCTTAACCAATGAATTATCAGTAATTGTGTAACTTTCTGTTATTGAACTGTTAAAGTCACTAAAGCAGTGGGTATTCTGGCAAAGTTTGACAGTGTGCCCTTAATAATCCTCGTACGCTGCAGTTTGTGCTTCCCATAATGATGAGACTAGTTTTAAACTAGTCTTTTTTTTGAAAGGGGAAAGAGGCAAGGAAAGGCAGTATCTTGTTTTTGAGCACTGAGGGTGCACTCCTTTCCGCCACCAGTATTTTCTTTATGAAAATTAGGACAAAAAATTAACTTTTTTTGGAAGTGAAAAGTGAGATTTTTCATGCAAGATTTAATTAAAATGTCAAATACCGCTACCTTTATGATAAAGTTATGTAAAACTGGCAGTGTTGCCTAGAAAATGCTCCCTTGTTTTGGGAATGGTATCTTTCAGAGACTTTGGCATGAGCCCACTGGAACCCACTGTTACTTTAGGCAGAGTTTTCTATAACAATGTGCCGACCACACAGACATAGAGTAAAGTAGACAAGTGAATGTGTCCTTATTGAAGAACAGACAATCCACTGCCTTAATAGAGATACTACTGTCACAAGATCTGTATGCTTATGTTAGTACTCTGGTTTTTAAAGTATTACCTTCCTTATCTCTTATGCTTTTTACTTTACTTTCTAGGTTAAAGGAAAATATGAAATACTCACTGGAACGTTCAAAAGACCTGATGAAATGGTTGACATGTATGTGGAACTGATTAATAAATTTCCTTTTATTATTGCATTAATAGATCCCTTAAGAAAAGAGGTAAGATACCAGAGTGCAGTCCTTGAAAAACTGATAAAACTGTTAAGTGGCATATCACTGAACTTTTCACATTTTTACAAAAAAGAAAATACGAAGCTTCTGTTTGCAGAGTCTTTAGGCAAAACAATATCACTATAAAAATGTATGTAACCATTCATTTGCATATCTGTAATTGACAATAACTCTAAATTTTTCTATACTTTTGACATAATTCCTGACAGAAAATAATCCTGGCATGAACAGAATATGGTCAGTACAAGTATTTTAAAGAATTACAAGAAAATGGGGTTTTTTTCTGATTCTACTTGCTAAACCACTGTAATTTTTATTACATTTTCCTTCTTATGTAAACAAATAATTCAGATTATAAAATCTAATTATAAAATTCAAGTGACATATAAATGATATGATATTATATTATATGGGAGAAGCTAAAAATTTGGACATAGTTGTATATTCCTGAGAATCACTCAAAAAAAATTGTTGCTGCTATTCTTTATGATTGAGATTTATACCCAAAGCCAGAACAAACCTGTCACTGGCAGCATTGCTCGGCAGAATTTTTAAAGCAGTAGTAAGATACCATGTATTTACCACTGTGATCAAAGTTAGAGGAGTTAATTTAGTGCGGCCGATAGATTACAACAGTAAAGTAGAATACTATTAAGCATGTTATCAAGTTACAGATGGATGAAAGAAACAGATTAAATATTAGCATTTATACATAAGATTAAGTTTCCATGTATTACAAAAAAGATAAAACTTAATTGCAGCAGAACCTACAATTGTAGACCTAGATTCTGCAGTTGCACAACTTAATAAAAATTTGCTCTTGCTGTCAAATTGCACACTTTATCTTCTTTAAAATAAATACATGGGGTTTGTTTTCATGAACAAAACATGAAGACCGTGATTGAAGGGAGAAGCAAAGTGATGTTGTCTGTGAATCTGCCCAGTGCCTGAATCGATAATTCTAAAACAGATGAACTGCAAAATCCATCTGATTTTGTTCTTATCTGGAACTTTAAAAGTTCATTTTTCGAATATCTGTGTTTACTGTTACCTCACTCTAGTTAGCCTCGGCTCCCTGCACCCTTTCAGTCTGACTCTCTGAATTACCCATGTTCCGAAACACCAGATTATTCCCCGCTCCTGCCAGGGCTGCAAACTTCCTTGAGAATTCTTGTGAAGAAACATATTTGCAATATGAAAATCTGCAGCAGAATTACAACAGATAGTGAAGTACAGTTTGAAATAGAATACTGTTCAGGGACATGCCTCTCCTCCTCCTCCCCCCTCGCAAATCTACAAAGTTTACCCATGCCACATCTTTGCCTCAGATAATTAGGTCCTTGAGGATTAGCTCTGGTACCAATTCAACAATTCATTGCCAGACAGCAGACCACTTTAGTGCTTAAGTTTAAACATTTGTTCAGGTGTCAGAAACTTCATTTTCACTTACATGTGGGCTTGAAATCCCTACAGGAATGGACCCTTATACAGATTGCAGCTATATAGGTAAAAAAAGCTTGTGTGATCCGCAGACCAAGAATTATTACTGGCAGAATTATTAACTAAAAAAGTAATGTTTTTAATGTGAAAACTTTGTATTCTGTGGACACAAAGAAAGCAAATTAATTCATTAATTTCTTCTCTCAAATTATTTATATATCCTTGTCCTTTATTTATCCTTAAATCTCAGTACGATGTGGACAATGCATTAAAATCAAGAAACAAAGACCCTAAAAAAATGGAGCTTTGCTGGAGAGAGAGCGTTGTATTCTGCTGTTCCTTATGGGTCAGTCTTACAGCTCTGAACATCCTGTCTTGATACGTGTCATTGAGTCTATGACTGCCTCCTGTTTCATTATTTTATATTCAGACAAATATTGTGACACTTAAAATATTAACACAAGAGTGAGTCCTCTGAAGAAAACAATAGAAAATTATTTTATATGCCATTAAAATTAAATAAATCTCAGGAAGGGAATCAAAATAGCAAACTCCTACAGTTAATTCAATTTGAAATATTTTAAACTATACTTGTGTGCAACTAGCTTTGATTAATTCCAGATTAGAATTTACATTTTCTAGCAAAATCTTGAAATCCCAGAAAAATTCTGGTGGTATGTTTTTCTTAGGTAGACAGCTTTAAAATACAGTATAAAATATAATATGTTTATATGAAGGGTACCTTTAAGATTAAATCAAAATTTTTTTTTTTTTTTTTTTTATTTTTACGTGCAGTGGTGTTGTCCTAAAATATATTAACCAAACCAGGGTATCAGCAGACCTCATACTTACTGGACTTCTAGATGGTGAGTAGAGGAGGAAAAAGGCTGACTTTCAAACCCTACAAGTCAATAAGTAGTGTTGCTACATCTGTAAATATTACATCTTTTTATGTAATTATTGCCACTTCTAATTTAGGAAGCGCTTGTCAGAAGAAACTAAAATTCATGTTTTGATTCACATATCTCTGTTCAGGAGCTGAAAACAGCATTCAAGGCTTCAACTATAGTAAATTAATACACTGTGGATGCTTTGAGTGTGGGTGCCCTTTGGCACTGCAGCTAAGTGTCATACAGTTAGACATCAGAATTAAACAAAATAAAAAAGAGGTAGTTGACTAGTCTGAATTTTGACTAATACTAGTATTAATAATTAAGAAATCCAAACAAGCCCAGAATGTTTAAAATTGCAGTTTACATGATTATTGACTATACATTACCGAGCTTTTGTGGTAACAGTGCTAAGAACCTGTGCAGTTTCATATGTAAGATTTGTCTTTGCATCAATTTTTCTTTATTCATTTTTATACGCAAGGAATAGATGGACAAATTTAATATATCTAAGTTCCTTCCTTATTCC